TGCCCAGGTAAGAAAAAAAATGGGATGTGCTGTTGCCTAGGTTTAGAAGCCGTTCATGGGCTGGCAATGGGATTTGACCTCAGCCTGAGTAGGTTCTTATTTCCATTACTTTCTTCACTAACATCACTGGGTTGGCTTTGTTTTCATGGGATCATACAAAAGGGAGTTGTAATCCCCAGACATATTGGGGTTCCCCTGGTGTCCAATATGACCTCATCAGAGATTATGGATAAAAAATTGCCTCTGTTGATTCAATGAACAAGCATAGTAGTTGCAAAAGGACTTGAACAGTTTTCTATGGCCAGGATTGGTCGTATGGCTAGTTGGAGAGTCATGGCTGCATTTACAGATAACCACTGACTGTAAATGTGGATTATTAATGTTAGAAACTTGAGTGGATCTGAGAATTATTTGTATATGTTCATTACTTTACCTGCTAAGTGATTTCAGTCACTTTTGTCCCATTAAGACTGATGTCTGTCTAGTAACTACATGTATGGTTACAAGTGATAAAGCCTCCTGGAGGCAAGAATTGTAAACGAGACAGGCAAACCTCATTAGAACAACTGTGTGTCAGCTGAGCAAATATGGGAAACTCATGGGCCTGCTCCTTCTAGGCCACATAGTATGTGGGCTCTGCATCATTTCTGCAAATCTGTAAACTCTGGCATTCCAACATTGTCAAATACTGGAGGAAGCCATGTATTTTTTTAAAAAAAAATAGCAATGAACAACACCTGAAATCAAGCTTTCCCACAGGGTTTGAGGGTAGGTGAGGCTTTCTGTGAATGTTCTATAACAGAGAAGGTCTTGTAGTGGTTCTTGTGTCTTCTTCCATTAGGTGATGCTTACCAAGAATCTGGATGTATCCCGGGGTTTGGTGAATGGGGCTCGTGGAGTTGTGATTGGTTTTGAAACTGAAGGAAAAGGTTAGTTTCTAAAAGGCATACTTGAGGGGCTTTAGTCTGAAAAAAGGGAGCATTGTAATCCATTGGTACCTCTGTTCTCTGCAACAACTTTTTGAAATATAACTGCTCTCCTTTGTTCCCTAGCTTTTAGTCTTTCCTGCCTCATCTTAACTGTATTTAAACTTGATATATTCATTAGGTGTGGTTGATGCAGACTGCTGTAGGTGAAATGGAAGCTACTATGAAGCAACTTGAAACACATAATGCTTGTTCCCAAGGCTAGGCATAAGAAAGAATGCCTCAGGATCTGGCTTGCATTCTTCCTACAGGGCTGCCTAAAGTGAGGTTTCTGTGTGGCATCACTACTGTTGTTGGGTTGGAACGATGGGTCTTAAAGGGACCAGCGGGGACACACCTGACTCGCCAACAGTTGCCCCTAAAACTTGCCTGGGCCATTTCCATCCACAAGAGCCAGGTGAGTGAATCTTTCCCATGGTATCTATTGCAGCCAACTGGTGCAGCCATATTGGTCAACTATCAGCAAAAAGCAAGACTTCTTTAAAGGTAGCACAGCAGATAAAGAAGAAGAGATTGGATTTATACCCCGCCCTTCACTACCCAAAGGTGTCTCAGAGCGGCTTACAAACTCCTTTCCCCTCCCCTCCCCTCCCCACAACAGACACCCTGTGAGGTAGGTGGGGCTGAGAGAACTCTTGACAGAAACTGCTCTTTTTCAAGAACAGCTGTGCCAGTTATGGCTTGCCCAAGGTCATCCAGCCAGGTGCAAGTGGAGGAATGGGGAATCAAACCTGGTTCTCCCAGATTAGAGTCCGCGCACTTAACTACTACACCAAACTGGACTCAAGTTCCCACTGTTGCTTCTGTCTCATTTCCAGGGAGGCAGCCATGTTAGTCTGTGGCAAAATAACTATATCAGAAGTCCAGTGGCACCTTATGAACTAAGATAATTTATTCCAGCATTTGTTTTTGTGAGTCAGAACTCGCTTGATCAGATGCAGTGTCTCCAATCCAAACTAGTTAAAGTTTGTACTTGGAATTACAAGCAACCAGATACGCAGGTTTGGGGAGATGTTACAAAGAGTCTTGCTTGGAATGACAGTTGATTCAAGAGAAATCAAACTATACAAAGTGGCTTCGTTTCTACACACTGCCAATTGGTCTCTGTCCTCCAGGTATCATTAGTCCAGTGGGCTGGTTTTGGCTGTTTCCATAATAGTGGTTTTCATTGAGCCATTTCCTAGTGCCTTATCTAAATTAATTTCCAGCTTTTCAAATGTGACTACCATGTTTGTTCTCTACTTTTGGCCTTTTAAGAGACCTGTGTGTACAACTGGTGCAACGAGCATGGCTTTTATGTTTTCAAGTGGAAGACTGCCCCCTCCACCCTTCTGCCGTAATGTTACAATGCAGTAACAGCACCACCTAGTCTTACAAAGTCTACAGCATATTCTGCACAAGATGCAGACTTAATGCGTGAAACTCTTAATATTCAACCTGTTGAGAACTTGAAAGATTATGTATATAACATGCTTATGATATTTTGGTTGGTGCTGCTAAAAGAAATGAAATTGCTTTGGTTTCTAGAAGCCAAAAGATGCTCAAGAAGCTGTTTTTCTGCATTTGGACTTGTGACCACAAGCAAAAAATTACCTTTCCACAAATGTGGTTAGGGTGCCTTGGGGACAAGCTCTGTCTTCTGTGCATGAGTTGTAACCGTAGGGAAATAGAAAAGGAGGTCTACAGTTGCTACAGACATATAGCCATATAACTGTTGCTGCAGCCCCATCAATGATTTTTAGGGATATTTTTTTCCAAGTATGACATCTGAATACTGCCCCATTGCATCAAGTAAGAACCATATGGGTATTTTATTGCACTGATTTATCAATATACTAATCACTCAAATGTGTATCCTCTACCTTACTGGCTTACTTCTCTTTCTCCCATATTAGGGTATGTCTCTAGACTGTGTTGAAATCTCCCTCGCTCGTGTCTTTGAGTGTGGTCAGGCTTATGTAGCGCTCTCTCGGGCACGTAGCCTTGCAGGCCTTCGTGTTTTGGATTTTGATCCCAAGGTGGTGAAAGCTAATTCTTGCGTATTGCAGTTCTACAGATGCTTGAGGAAAGAACAATTTTTAGCTCAGGTAATGTAACCCTGTTAAGCTGCTCTGATCAGATGTATGGTAAACACCTTTTGCATTTACATATATTCCACATGTACTAGAGGAGATTGGAACACAAAGCACCACTGCATACCTATGGTACCAAACACTCTGGTTCAAGGATCTCAAAGCAGCCATACTTCTAAGCTATCTATTTCACTTAGCTCTTTAAATTATCTTCCCTTTATTCTTTTCATGAAGACTGATGACAGTCAGGCCGAGAAAAAAAAACACACCATTTTTTCTGAGGCTTATTTTTTCAGTTTTTCTGATGGAAAAATTGGAAAGTTAGGTGTCGTTTTTCCCCCAGTACTCCCCCCTATGAAATACTTTCTCTTTTAGAATGATCAAAATGCTTTTAAAGATAAGGTGGGCATGCTGTAAACATATGCAGTTCTTTAAATACAAGATACATTTCTGCACCTTGTAGGATACCTAATCTTTATTGGGTGGTGGTGGGGAGCATGCAGGGCTTTCACTTAGGGTTGCCAAATCCGTTTGTTCTCGCGGCGGGGGGCTCCCGGACGGCGTCCCCAGCGCGCGCCGTATGCACATCACCCGGATGTGACGTGATGACGCCGGGCACGCTGGGGGCGGAGCCACAGCCATTTGAGGCCTCCAAAGCGGGGGGAAATCCGCCCCCCGGGGGGAATTGGCAGCCCTACTTTCACTGCTTCTGTTGTCCTGTTGCTCTGACTCTTCCCTTGTGGTTGACCCTTTTACCTCTTGCTTATCACTATGACACAGTTGCCCACAGATTGGGGAACAAGTAGCTTATTGCCCTACCTTGAAGGAGCGAAAAAGATTAGGAGGTGGGGCAGAAACTGCATCAAAGCCTCAGAGGAAACCTCTGAAAGTTTTGAGAACAGACCTTTTTCTCTAACCAGTAGCCAGAGAAGGACAGCAGAACTACTAGCTGCGCAGATATTATTATTGACCCTTTGTGTGACCCCTTTTCTGACCAAATAATATATTTTGTTATTTACCACTAAGCTTGTTTTCGGTTTAAGTCCTATTTTTTCCTACTTTTCAGATAGCAAAAAGTAAGGTACATGTGCTAAAAGTAGCATGGGGGCATCAGCCTGCAGTTTTCTGTCAAGTGTTGGGTATATTTGCAATTTTGCTTGTAGAAAACAAAGGCATTTATAACTTCAAAGTTCCATAAGTATGTCAAATATTTTTATATGATGCATTTTTGTTGTCAAACCAATAAAACTAGTTTTGGTTTGATAGGATAGAAAATATTTCTGGGGAAAATGTCTTCCATGGCTTCAAAATTTCTAGAAATTTTACACATCTGTCATCCAGCCAGTGTTGCATTAAATATATACCCGAGGGATCATTTATATAACTTCTGTGTTTACTCTTTAGGCTTCTCTGATTTCCTACATTAAAGCTGATAAGGAAAACTGAGACAACAACTGGACAATTCTGAGCATTCCGTATTCCATTTGATTGATCATTTTGCTGAATAATCTACAACTACTATAAGGAAAACTACTTTTGTTGGCTGGTCTGGCTTAACTGCTCAAGGTTGGGCATGTGACCACCTTGGAGTATCCTTTTCTACAATTACACAAGATCAGCCTTGGGCACGTAGATATACCAGCCATGTCTCAAAGCAAAATCACAAACTGGAAGAGAAGGGCATTAAGCTAAAGCTCACCAAATACTTGTCATGGTTGATTAGTTAGTTTTATTTCTCTTTAGCTTATATACATGTGCATTGTATATATGATGGCAATTTGTCAATGAAGAATAAACAACTTACAACTAAAATCAACCTATTCTTCCAAATTTCTCTTACTTTAAGACTGCATTAGTTTTCAGCATTAATAAAAATATTCCAGCTAAATTGCAAAGTAATGCTTTGATCAAAATAGTACTAAGCAGCTACAATAATAGAGGCCTTCCAGATAGTTTTTACCTTAAAATATTCATATCTAGTTCTGTATTACAACTTCTGCTGTCTTCTATATGTCTGTCTACTGCCCTGAGTGATGAGATCACACAACTCAGACTTCATCACCAGTATCTTAAATTATAGGCAGTTTAAGGCAATTATATGTGTTGGAGCTATTTCTAACCCCAAGATTCCAGATGCAGTAGAAATGCCAGTATGAATCCTCTAGGCTAGAATCAATTAGTCTAGCAAAATGAACTGTTGCAATAATCAAGAGGAAATATTGCTACTAGATAAGCCAAAGCAATGTACACAGTCTACTGCGGGATACTTACACCAAGCAAACATTGTCCACAGAACAAAATATCAATGCTCCTATGAAATCCATGGTAAGACAATTATCTAGGTTTCCTTCTCAGAGTTACTATCACATATAGTTAAAAAAGGACAGTTCAGTACGGAATCTGATTTCCTCAGTCCAAGCTCATTTTCTTTTGTGCCAAAATATCCAAAGGAAGTAAGAATGAGTTCAAAGGACAGATACCCAGAGTCTTCCAGTCCATCCCAGAAGCCTCAAGAGCATCAGCACTGGAAGCATCTGTGGAATTAGCATCTTCTTTATGCAGTGGATGGCAGTTAGTGATCCGGTACACAGGGACAGACGTGTTGCATAAATGTATGCTACTGCTGTTAGGCTGCCTTGAATCTGCTTGTGTTCTGCTTCTCTCACCAGCATAATGGCCATTTAATTCCACATAGCATTTGCACATGTGACTCCTCAGCTTCTTAATATCTAGGGAAACCAGCTCTTCTGGAAGTGACAGCAACAGATCCAGGATCACGGCTGCCTCTGCATAAATCAAAACACAAAAGATAGTAACTGCCTGTAATCCTTTGGCCTGTGCCCATTTGCAGCTTCTCACAATTCTTGCCCATTTCTGCTCTGACCCAGCACCCTCTCTCAAGCAAGGATGGCAGAATACTTTTTTTTTGCTTCCCCCATTTACTCCTAGACTATTGTTCAGATTTTTATTATACGCTAAAGACTCACAATATACAGTATGAACATTACTTCCATTTGTTAAGAGAAAATACTCATCAGCCAACCAACAATATTTTTAAGCATTTCTATTCTCATCCTACATGCTACTCTACTTCTTCTTGTTCCAATTCTCATGCCATTCCTGATTCTTACAAATGGTGACATTAACATTGCTATCTTCCACAATAGTAAAATAATCAAAATATCATTCATTCCACTCTTTGTCATTTCATAAATATTACATATCCCCCTAGCTTGTACACCCCAATCTCACAGTAACGAAGAGCTCTTCTGCATTCTCATTTTTGTCACTCGTTTGTCCCTATTGCTTTGTGTGTGTCCCCCACCCCCCCACATGTGTTTTGCTCCCTCTGGGACTACTAGACAGAGCAAAACAAATTGCAGGGGAAAACTCTGAAGTGATAGAGTGATGAAAATCAGAATGGATGAAAATCAGAATGTGGAAGAGCCCAAACTTGGGACAAGCAACCAGCACTCTTTTAGGTATACTTTCTCCCCACCCCCCCAATATTTTTATTAATTTTGTGAGCAGATGAAGCTCCCCGGACTGAAAAGACGGAGCTTCAAAAAGAACGAGAGATCATATTATTGATAAATTAATTTCATACAGAAAGTTGAAAGGGTAGTAACGTATAATTTTATAGATACCTAGCCAAGTGTGCTTCAGATCCAATTTTGTTTAAAAAAATAATAACTAAAAATCCAGGGACCTGACATAGAATAAGCCTATACAGAGTTATAATATGTCTTCACTCAAGATTTATTCGGTTAATATCAGAGGTGTTAATAATGTCATTAAAAAGAACGAAAAGAGGATCAGGCGGCTCGGGAGCCTCTTAAAAAAAAAAACCGTCGCCACGCCACACCGGAAGGAAGTCCTCTTTTAGGTATACTTTCTTAAGCAGTCCTGAGACAGTTATTGCTATACTCAGTGAGGGGCTACTTTCACAAAGAACACAAGGCATTTTCAGTGTAAGAAGCATTCACCCGCAGTGGATGAAAATCGGGTAGAGGGAGAAATCATACCTGTTTTAGACTTCAGCGGCAAGCAGCATTTAAATTTGTTCATTAACCAGGGCTGTAGAGACAAGCTAAACTGTATACAATCACATATAGATTTGTCTAGAGTGTTTTTACCTTCACAGTTTGCACTGGAGAGATAGGATTGTGGAGGCCTACAGAACATATCTCTATTTCTCTCAGCAACACTATGAGGCCGT